AAACTGCAAAGCAGCTGTTGTTGAGTTGTGCGACACTGTACGGAGGTTCTTCGACATGGACCTTACTTCTGCATTCGGCATGGCTTTCTGGGAGATCTACAAAGGCAGCGGGCAGCGTGCGGCCCTCAGCGACAACAGGTCACCTCTGCGGCCTATGCCTATGCATATTTTCACTTGTGGTCTTTTGTAGCCACGTGTCAGTGTCTGTATGATCCTCTGCCAAAGCGTGGATGAAAGACTAGGTGCAAGTTGGTCTGAAGTGGAGGCGGTCCTCAACGGCAAGTGCCCCTGGCAGAGTGCTCATGAGCGGTCTGCAGCTCAGCACGGTGCAGGAAAGTGCAGGAGTTCTTCTGCAGGCGTTCTTCCTGTGCAGGTACGAGCAGTTGATGGATCTATGTCTCCTTGAAAAGGCCCGACTCACCGAGCTCATCATCTTTTCGGAGTTTTTTGCGCGGTCTCCGCGAGGCCATGTGGGATTCGGCAGGCGGCCTGATTCCGGACCAGGAGTCACCAACTCAGCGTTCCACTTTCAAGCTTTCTTCGCTTCACCATTCCACTTAAATGACTTCTCCGCTCTGCGCCAAAGGGTTTTGAGGGTGACCCGTAAAAAGACGGCGCTTTTGAGAGGGGCACAGCCCAAGTGTTGAACACGCAGCTTGCAAGGCCTCTCAGAAACAAGCTCGACAAGGCTGGGTTGGATTCAGGGACCGTCAGGTTGCTCGATGCCTCTCACCGCAGATCGTTGCTTGTCACTTGCACAAAGCGTTTTTTCATCCTTTTTCTGTAAAGTGTCGGTGCTCCTTGATTGCCGCGAGAGTCCGGCCACACTGACTTCTGCAGACTCCAAAGGCATTGAAGACCGGCCATGAGTTCTTCAAAACCTTACCACAAGCACCTGCGTCACCGCCACGCGGTTTTGCCAAGACAAAAACCTTACCACAAGCACCTGCGTCACCGCCACGCGGTTTTGCAAAGACAAAAACCTTACCACAAGCACCTGCGTCACCGCCACGCGGTTTTGCCAAGACAAAAACCTTACCACAAGCACCTGCGTCACCGCCACGCGGTTGTGTCAAAACAAAATCCTTACCACAAGCACCTGCGTCACCGCCACGCCGCCACAAGGTTTTGCCAAGACAAAAACCCTACCACAAGCACCTGCGTCACCGCCACGCGGTTTTGCCAAGACAAAAACCTTACCACAAGCACCTGCGTCACCGCCACGCGGTTTTGCCAAGACAAAAACCTTACCACAAGCACCTGCGTCACCGCCACGCGGTTTTGCCAAGACAAAAACCTTACCACAAGCACCTGCGTCACCGCCACGCGGTTTTGCCAAGACAAAAAACCTTACCACAAGCACCTGCGCCACCGCCACGCGGTTTTGCCAAGACAAAAACCTTACCACAAGCACTTGCGTCACCGCCACGCGGTTTTGCCAAGACAAAAACCTTACCACAAGCACCTGCGTCACCGCCACGCGGTTTTGCCAAGACAAAAACATTACCACAAGCACCTGCGTCACCGCCACGCGGTTTTGCCAAGACAAAAACCTTACCACAAGCACCTGCGTCACCGCCACGCGGTTTTGCCAAGACAAAAACCTTACCACAAGCACCTACGTCACCGCCACACCTTTTGCCAAGACAAAAACCCTACCACAAGCACCTGCGTCACCGCCACGCGGTTTTGCCAAGACAAAAACCTTACCACAAGCACCTGCGTCACCGCCACGCGGTTTTGCCAAGACAAAAACCTTACCACAAGCACCTGCGTCACCGCCACGCGGTTTTGCCAAGACAAAAAACCTTACCACAAGCACCTGCGCCACCGCCACGCGGTTTTGCCAAGACAAAAACCTTACCACAAGCACTTGCGTCACCGCCACGCGGTTTTGCCAAGACAAAAACCTTACCACAAGCACCTGCGTCACCGCCACGCGGTTTTGCCAAGACAAAAACATTACCACAAGCACCTGCGTCACCGCCACGCGGTTTTGCCAAGACAAAAACCTTACCACAAGCACCTGCGTCACCGCCACGTGGTTTTGCCAAGACAAAAACCTTACCACAAGCACCTACGTCACCGCCACGCCGCCACAATCTTTTGCCAAGACAAAAACCCTACCACAAGCACCTGCGTCACCGCCACGCGGTTTTGCTAAGACAAAAACCTTACCACAAGCACCTGCGTCACCGCCACGCCGCCACAAGGTTTTGCCAAGACAAAAACCCTACCACAAGCACCTGCGTCACCGCCACGCGGTTTTGCCAAGACAAAAACCTTACCACAAGCACCTGCGTCACCGCCACGCGGTTTTGCCAAGACAAAAACCTTACCACAAGCACCTGCGTCACCGCCACGCGTTTTTGCCAAAACAAAAACCTTACCACAAGCACCTGCGTCACCGCCACGCCGCCACGCGGTTTTGCCTAGACAAAAACCTTACCACAAGCACCTGCGTCACCGCCACGCAGTTTTGCCAAGACAAAAACCTTACCACAAGCAGTTTTGCCAAGACAAAAACCTTACCACAAGCACCTGTGTCTCCGCCACGCGGTTTTGCCAAGACAGAAACCTTACCACAAGCACCTGCGTCACCGCTACGCGGTTTTGCCAAGACAAAAACCTTACCACAAGCACCTGCGTCACCGCCACGCGCTTTTGCCAAGACAAAAACCTTACCACAAGCACCTGCGTCACCGCCACGCGGTTGTGCCAAGACAAAAAGCTTACCACAAGCACCTGCGTCACCGCCACGCGGTTTTGCCAAGACCAAAACCTTACCACAAGCACCTGCGTCACCGCCACGCTTTGCCAAAAAATCTCCAAGTCCCGAATTGTCGACCCGACGCCGTTGTCAAAGATACATGCTTTTGTCTCTTCCCCCTTCATTTGCCCCCCCCCCCCCCCCTTGCCCCAGTGTAAGCAAACCGTGCCACAGGCCGCCCAATTTCTTACGATTTCCAGAGCTCCATCGTTAGGGAGGTGGGGCTCGAGTTCGGTTCAGTTTTTGAGGGCTGAGGAGGCTCATGAAGGAGAGGAGCTGAGGCTCAACATATTAGAGAATCTCTGGGCCACAGACTGGGTAGCTTTTTTCGAGATTATGTTTTGCCTTTTCCTTTTTGTGTTTTGTTGGTGTTTTTGTTTTTTCATCTGTAAGATCGCTTGCATTTCGCGATGAGTCGCTTTTACTTTAGGTTTGCAATTTCTTGGATGCTTGGCATTTTGCTTGTAAGAACGCACAAGCGATGCGGAACGAAGCGCAAAACGCAAAGCAAATGCAAAACAAATGCAAAGTGGCCGCTGAGGTTCTCTAGAGAAATTGAGCTCGCGCTCGAAGTTTGTTGCGTTGTTGCTAAAACCATTTTTGTTTCTCGTTTCTTGTTGCACTTTGTGCTTTTGCACCTTTTTGCCTTTTTTCATTTTGCTTTATGCGTTGTGCGCTTGGCTCCGACTAGCCTTGGCGTAGTTAGAACAGCGATACCGCACCGAAAACGCACAACATAAAACCCAAAGTACAAAACATGCAAAGTCAACACCAAAGCAAACCAAAGCACAAAAAGTGCAGACGCAAAAATGCAAGCGGCCTACGCGCCAAAATTGCAGATCCAAATATGCCGGGCTGCATTGGTAATTGCACTTGGCAAGCCTGTTGTAGCCTTCAGAGATTCTCGTACGAAATGTTGACAACTCTTTCAGGCCGGAAGGGGCAGGGGCTCTGTTTCTGTCTGGGGTGTTTGAATCCAGAGGGAAGAGATCGTGTACTCCCACTTCTTCTATATGGTTTGCATGCTGCATGCCATGTCAAGCAGCTGTAGGCTGGGACACACGTGCAGATTATAGGGTCGTGGGAGGAGTTTCTCTGCTGTGCGCCGCGCTTCGTGCAGGCGGCTCTGACTGCAGCGCAGCGTCTTCCAGGTCAGACCTGCAAGTCGAGGTTGCAATGCTTCGTGGACTGAGAGCTTGGTGGGAGGTAGCGTGGCGTGCGCGAGTGCACAAATCTGCGGCAGCTATCGAGTGCTTCATCCTTGATCGGCTTGGCAAGGACCTTGCTAAGGCTACCCAGGTTGTTGCCTGGCGTAAGCTCTGGCGCATTCAGGACTTCTCCTATGAGCTCTGCGTGGGCCTCTGGCACGCACTGCCAGAGAGACAGTGCTGACAGTGCTTCTACTGCAGGCCATGTGGGACAGGGTGGGGCTGAGACTTTGCAGTGGCTGTGCGGCATTGCTTCAGGCCACAAAGAGGAGCTCCGGTATGACGACGATCCAAATCGAGGCCTGAACTGGCAAATGGGTCGGGGCTTCTTGCTTGAGAGTGGTTCATGTCAGCTTCGAGTGCATAGTTGCAGGTCTGCGTGACATGGCTTGAGACGCTAGATTTTCAGCTGCTTGCTTTGTTCGGTCAACCTGCGTTCAGCTGCCATCCAACGATGTCGCCAACCTGTTCTCGCGTGAGGAATGATTATTTAGCCTTGTGTTTCCAGGACAGCAGCTGTTCTTGGAGAGCTTGCTCTGCCTGCTCTGAGCACTCCAGGATCCAAAGAAGATGATCGCAGGAGCTGCATGTTGCGGCGTGCTGCGCGTCCCGTCGAAAAAACATGTCTGTTGTGGAACGAGCGGGTACACCTCTGACCGAAACGGTATCGTGGTGGCGGGTATCAGCCCTTGGGCACAGGTTTAGGCATCGAGTCTACGGGATGAGTCGTGATTGCAGTGGCCTTGTCGTTTTAAATATCGTCTGCATCATTGTTGCATGTTGTTGCATCGCTTGCAATCTTTCTACAGAGCTTGAAGTCGTCGAATCATCGACTCTTCTCAGATACTGTATATAATTAAGATGTATACTAAGATCATGACTCACGACTGTACGTTGTAACATGTGTTATTTGCAGCCAACGTGCTATGCTGATCGCATCTGATCGTTACAACTTTGCGACAAAGCACGCCGGGTGTATTTGTTTGATTGGACTGTCGCGTTGCGGCCTTTCTTCCTCGGCCATGGTGGGCGTCGCGGGTCTGGACAACCATGTACCGTGCCTTGACTGCATCCGCCAAAGATACTTCTACCTCTCTTCCGGTGTTGAAATCTTCCTGCACGCACTCTGACTAGCACTTGACTGGCACTGATATGTCCTCCGTGTGACAGGCCGTTGCCGGACCAGATGTTCGAAATGTGCATGTCTAAGACAGCCTAGTGGTGTGGTGATGCCCCTCTGCTGTGTCGAGCTGCCAATGACAGACGTGTGAGGTCTGTCTTGAATATGCCTCTGGAAGAGCTGACCACACCAAGGCGGCCTGCCCAAAATCACTCAGTCGTCTGTCCACTGCCGTGTTGCATCACTTGGCATCCCGTGCTTTTTCAGGTCAAAATCGCCTGGTGACGCGTGCGAGAAGCAGCTCGGGCCGAAAGTGCTAAGGGCGGGCTCGCTGCTGCTTTGGTCTTGGTACATTCGGTGCTGTCTCACTATCTTCTCCGACTGGTTGTTCAATTGGACGGGCGGGATGGGTCGGGCTTTCCGGGAGGCGCTGTGTCTGTGCCTGTGCGACAAGTCTCATGCATCTCATGCTGTGGCGGAACCTGCCACGCATCGCTTCGCCAGCTTCGCCTTGAGGTCTCCTGACGCGCGGCTCGAAGTGCGAAGTCGCCAGCGCGACAGCGACGTGAGCACTGCGGACACGACAGGGTCGCGTCGGCCGAGCGTCTCGAGCATCCCTGACATTGCGGAAGTGCCATCGCCGCCTTCCGAGGCAGGGTTCACGTCCGTGAAAGGCCCCTGAGTTGCAACACCCAAACTCCATGATCCACGTCTATCCACGCACGTAGTCGTGTGGCATCGTATGGCCAAGCCGGGAAAGCTGCGGGTCCATGCAGGTGGAGGATGACACCACGCCTTGCAGCAATCTTTCGCAGTGCAGCCCGGAGATGATGAGCACGTAGCCTGGTTGCATACATCTCTGGCGCCGGTGTTTGTTCGGACACGGCTGCAGTCGGCTTGGGCATTGGAGGCAGCAGGTAAAGTTTATCTTTCTGATCGTTGCCATGTTGCTTCACTTGCCGTCCCGTGCTTTGTAAGGTCAAAATGCCCATCAGATAGCGCAGCGACCTTTGATGATGAGTGCGAGAAGCAGCTCGGCCCGAAAGCGCTCAGGGCAGGCTCGCTGCTGTTTGGTCTTGTTACGACTGTATCACTATCTTCGACGACGGGAGTTCAGTTGGAACGACGAGATGGCTCGGGGCGCTGTGTGGCAAGTCTCATGCGGTAGCTGCCAGCTGAACATGCATCGCTTCGCCAGCTTCGCCTCGAGGTCTCCTATCGCGCGGCTCGAAGTGCGAAGTCGGCTCAGTGGCCAGAGTGGCGTCAGCACTGCGGACACGACCGGTGCGGAAGTGTCATCGCCGCGTTCCGAGGCAGGGTTCACGTCCGTGATTTGAAAGGCCCCTGAGTTGCAACACCCAAACTCCATGCTCCACGTCTCTCCACGCGCGTAGTCGTGTGGCATCGTATGGCCAAGCCGGGAAAGCTGCGGGTCCATGCAGGTGGAGGATGACACCACGCCTTGCAGCAATCTGTCGCAGTGCAGCCCGGAGATGATGAGCACGTAGCCTGGTTGCATACATCTCTGGCGCCGGTGTTTGTTCGGACACGGCCGCAGTCGGCTTGGGCATTGGAGGCAGCAAGGCTCGGAGGACTTGGAAGCTTAGAGTAGAGTTTGGAGGTACTTGTAGCAGGGTTTGGAGGACCTGGAAGCTCATAAGTTTGGCATGAGCTGGGCCATGCCGCCTCGGTCGGCCTTATAACTGCTAATCAGGCTGCAAAGGCAAGATTCACGTCACCAAGTCAGCACTGGGCAAGATGCCAAGGCACACCTTCGCTCCCTCCAGCTTGGCGCCTGGTGCCAATGCGCGCCAGTCACTCGGCCAATGGCGGCTCGCGCCGACATGGAAGAGATTGGACGGCTATCCGTGAGTCTTGAGGGCGCTTCCATAGTTGAATTGTCGCCTGCAGCGCGGTAGAGAATTGCTGGCAAGCCTGGGCAGCGCGTCAGGACGTGTGCCAGGCGTGTACTAACTTTCCCATCCGAGGTGCTCGCAGGTGGAGTGGCAGCTGTGGTGGCAATCGCTTGCGCGCCTCGGCATAAATTAAAAGGAAGACAAACGCAGACGTTCTTGCATTTCTGCGTTGCTACAGCAGGCCCCCGGAAAAATTAGACCCTTGCATCTTTGAATAGTTAGGAAGCCAAGTCTGAGCTCTGACGTCAACCAGCAGAGACAGCAGAGACGACCAGAATAGCCACACACGGACTTTGGGATCTCTTTGCCCTTCTGTTCGGCCGTTACACTTTGCTCTCCATGCGAAGCCTCGTCACGAGTGATACGAGTGGCGACGACATCCCACACGTTGCGGGTGTTGGGATTGTACAGTAGGGGTAAGGGGGGTTGCACGTGCAAGTAGTAGCGGCAGCAGCGTCGATGTCAGCCTCAGGTATGAGGGCGCGTGCCAGAAGCACCTGGAGCAGCAGCAATGGCTGCAGCAAGTCGAGGCCCAAAACAACGAGTTGACGGTGCTGGTTGCAGCCCTCCGTGCTGAGAAGCGCGTGCTGGAGCAGCGGCCCCTTGGGTGTGAAGACGTGTGAAGCATTGCGCTGCAGTCTCGTGATGTCCTTTCGTGTCCTTTGATTCCCATGATGTTTGGGAGCTTTCTTGAGCCAAAGTTTAGCCACAAAACCACAAAACCACGGCTCCATAGCACTCCGCTGCGCAACAGAGCGAAAGCCGAGGCTTTGCCGCTGTGATGACGAGTTGTTTGAGGCCAAGGAGTGCTTGATGGCTGAGTTCATACAGTGACTCGCAAAACATTTGCCAACCTCATAACTCCTATCGATACCTGTGAGTGTGCAAAATGAGTGTGCAGAGTCTTGTGCAGAGTCTTGCGCAGAGTCTTCAGGGCTACTCGGTGAAATCTCATGAGTGGATGTGTCTCCCACAGCAGTGGCAAGCCAAGGCACCGCGCTCTCCAAAAAGAGTTGGAACGGGAGCGCGAGATCTGCAGCGGCGCTCGCTGCAGTATTGAGAAGCTGCAAAGCATGCTGCTCGCCTGTATGTGTTCGAAGCTCCCCCCCACGCCCACACCACGTGCAAGCAGTGCCGAGCCGATTCCAGGTACGAAGACGCATGCCAGCAACGGGACCAAGAAACGATGCAAGTGGAGCTGTGTCGGCAACAGCTGCAACGCGCCGAGACCAGAAACGACGAGTTGACGGCGCTGGTCTCAGCCCTGGAGGCTGAGCCCCTTGCCAATGAGGATAAGGTGTTGCAGAGTTTTTGCTCGCTTCAAAAACCTTCCAAGATTCGGTCGCGGGTCTTGGACGATAGAGCTCCTTGGAGCTTGCGGTTGCTTGTGGGAGTCTTTGTCTGCAACCTTTTTGTTTTGGGGTATTTTTGGGGCATGTAGTACTGAGGGGGGGGCCTTTGGATCCCTGAGATCTCAAGGGATTCAAGGTGTCACGGGAGGGGCGAGGAGGCGGGGTGGAGGGGTGTTCTCGAGTAGGTGGGGAGTTTTAGGAGGGGTCCCGGACCTTGAGGCCCCTACTGCAGCTTTCGTCTGCCCTGCTCTCAACTGATGTATGAGTACAATATGTTGTTACCACGAGTCTCATTTTGATGAGAGTACTTGTCATTCATCAAGTTAGAGCTAAACCAGTGATAGCCAGAACGTCGAGTGTGCGGAGTGTGAGCGACCGAGCAGCGCCTGCGTACGCTCACATCACAGACGCAGTATCACTCACGTCTTGTCTAGTTCCAGTATTGCGAAGTTTGCGGAGCAACACTTGCCAACTGCTGGTCCCTGGAACCTAGACCAGCTACAGACTACAGACCAGCTGCGAAAACAGCTCAGGTTCAGCGAGGCTGCCCTGTCTCAGGAGGAATCTCCTCAAGAGTCAGCGAGCATCGCTGCGGGACCAGAAAAGTGTCGATCGCCGCAGAATGCACAGATGCTTGCCTGAAGATTACTAGGTGGCAGGTGCTCTGGGCCAGCTGTCCATCACGAGCAGCTTGCGTCTCTCCAGTCTCCAGATTCTTGTCAGGGAGATCGCTGCGCAGAGCCCAGGTCTGCGAAAGATGAGTCTCGGGAGATGATGGCTTCTGGGACCCTGGATATGGATGCTGAGATTCTGGACCCGTCAGACCCCTCATGCCTCGCGTTGTTACTTGGCTTGCAGCACAAAGTGTTTAACAGCACATGCAATGGGACTTCACGACATCTGTCCAGCCAGTATAGTGAGAAAGCAGCAAACCTTGCTTAGGCCCTCTTTGCTTGACGGGTCTCGGACGCAGATGGCTGGCAAGGCCATGGATGTCAACCCGATAGACCCAGCATGCCTCGTGTTGCAGCTTGGCCTCAAGTTCAGCAGGGGCATGTCGTGGAAATCGCTTAAGACCCTTGACGAGCTCGTCTTGAGGCCGTGTCTGTTGCAGCACCTTTCCGCAACTTGTCTCCGCTTCAGCAGCAGGTGGTGAGAAAGAGCATGGAAGTTCAGCGGAAACCCGAATCCCTCAACATGAGTGTGCGCAAAGGTGTCTGATATCTTGAGCTGGCGCCAGACATCTCGGCAGACCAGGTGTCCCAGTGCAGGGAGCTTGGTGCACTCTCGCTGCGGCCCAACATGCCCAGCACACTTTGTTTGTATAGCCTGATATAGCCTGAGGTCTTGATACTGCACGTGACCGAGATGGGCAGGATGGACAGGCATGGGTGGGTCCTGACATGGCATGGCGCCAATTTTGCAGAAATGCGCATCGTGAGTCGTGCAGTCCAGGTCCGATGAAGTCATCGACTTCTCCGAAAAGTTCCAAGCGAGAACCAGTGGTACCTCCCTTGCTGAAATCTGTCAAGACGATGTCGAGCAGCAGAAGTCCTTTGAGTGCCTCTTGGTCTTGTACAAGTTCGCTCGCTCTGCAGAATGTGGGTCTGTTTTCTGAGTGAGGTCCTCTGCTTTGGAATCTCAGGTCGGTTTTGGTGTATGAGGCTGGCGACCACAGGAGCAACCCATTTCGCCGAAAGTGATGCCCGCAACATCGTCGTCACAAACCTTCAAAGCCTGTTTGGGCACTGCTTCAACGTGGAAGAACGGCTGCTGAAGAGGTGCGCTCACCACGTTGTTGCCAACTATGGGGTCGCTTGCCTGCCTTTCGTGCGGCAGCTGATTGCGGAAGCCATGCTGGGCCGAATGGGGGATGTACTGCTGGAGACGTCTCAAGTCAGCCGAGAGGCCGCGATTGAGGCACTACATTGCACGCAGCATCTTGAAAATGTTGTGCGCTCACTCACGCGGCCTCAGCGTCAGAAGTGGGTGTCCCTGCTGGTCAGAGTCCTGCATACTCAGCTGTTGCCAGAAAGAGTGGTTGGTGACCTTAAGCTCCTTTGGCGAGCTGATGACGATCCCAGCCGAACCTACGCAGAAGCAGAGACGGAGCTGCGGGCTATGTTGCGGTGGGTCAGCAGAGACCTCCGTCGCAATCTGCTGGATCTCCTCTGTTGCTGCTGAAAGCCAATGCGCTCAAAAAGGAGTGGATGCGCCTGTGTTGTTTTGGTTGCGGAGTGCCGCAGTGCCGAGGCGCCCTCCATTTCGCCTGCATCGCAGCATGCAGAAGCCGAGACTGACGGAATCACGGATATGTACTGAACACTCAGTGCGAAGTCTTGCTCGTACATAACTACTACAGTACGCTATACGCAAACTGCACAGTGGGCACACGCGTACTTTCCAGGCACCTTCAATAAGCGACTAGTGACTAGATGCGACTAGCATGTAACGATGGGCCCCTGAACCTGACAAACGTAAAAGCAACGTGGCGATGTAGTAGAACACCACGCCGTCTGTCATGACTGCAACATGGGAACGTCAAAGCGGGTTCAAGGGAATTGCCGGTACGCGCAGTTCTCGCGGGCAAAACTTGTTTACAGTTGTAGAATGTTATCTGTCTGTTAACTCATGCTGTCCTCGTTTTGGCTCAGCACGTGTGGTCAACAGTGTCGTTCTACATCATCATGTCGACGGGACCTTGGCTTGCGTTGAAGAGACTAGCTTGTTTCGGGGTTAGCTGCGAAGCGTTGACTGAGGTCGTGCCTGCCTGGTGAATCCCTGCCAGGCCAAAGTCCCCAGAACAAAGAGGTTTCTGGTCGTAGAACCGTCGCAATCCGCTGGATCTCCTCTGTTGCTGCTGAAAGCCAAATGCGCACAAAAGAAGTGGATGCGCCTCTGTTGTTCTCGAAGTCGATATGTTGGCATTCCAGCATCATGTGTGCTACAGGCGCCCGAGGTGCTACATGCCGAAAGGCCAGTGCAGTTTCGTGTCTAGGGGGAGAGTTCTAGGCTTGAGGATTTGGAGGGTTCATGTTTTCGGGACTTTGGTTGTTACTTGCTTCCTCTTGGGATCCCAACATCGCCAACCCGCTGCAACCACCCCAAGAAGAGTGGGCTCCATGTAGATGAATGCTACAGTACGCCCTTCCTCAGGACGGCGCTGACATCGATATGCAAACCAGCCTGCAGGCAACGCATGGAATCGTTGGTTCCCCAAGAAGTTTCTCCGTGTACTTTGTGGTTCTGAATCTGCGTTTGGTGTCAGGAGCCGGGCTTCTACTACGACAAGCAGAAAGGTCGGTGGATGCAGCACGGTGTGGAGGCGACCTTGCGATTGCTTGCGATTGCTTGCGATTGCTTGCGATTGCTTGCGACTGCTTCATCCTTAGTGGGAAGCATCGGAAAGCGCGGGTTGCATTGTTTCCTCCGAGGAACACTATCAGGATGACATATCGCAGTACGACCCCTTCACGGGCGAAACATCAATGGTGTGGCTCTGATTTTCAAGCCTTTCTTTTCAGCTAAGCGGGCATTGATTTTATGCTGAGGGTGGTTTTGGAGTTCCGCCAGTGGCGCCTCCGCCCGGCTTGTCAGCCGGGAGCTCGGCCGACCTGCCGGTGAGGAGTTCTCTCAGAAACATGATCTGAGTCGTGCAGAGGCACCGAAGCATCAGGCCGCTCCACACGTTTCGATTTTGCGGGTTGGAGGTTTCGAGCGCCCCATGCCCTCAAATTCTTGTGGTTTCCTGGTGGGCTTGTGGGCTCCTGTTCTGAGGAGCCTTGATGTTCTTGCTCACATATCAGTCACATTCTCAAGTTTCTCATATAGTGATCCTTTAGCTGCATGAACATTATTACTCCAAAAAGCAAGTTTTGACACATGCTGAGACATGTATTTGTTTTTTCTTTCTGTGTACTGCACTTGCTTGTCTACAGGTATTTGAAAGAAATTCTCAATTCATCAAGATTTCCTTCGTCTCTCTTCCTCTCTAACTTGTTAGTCTCTCTTTCTTGCTCGAATCCTCTGTACGGCAGGAAGCTTCCCCGATGGAGAGACTTGAGGCCAGGGTTTGACCCCTTAAACCCCTAAAACTCTTAAACTCCTAAACCGCAATCTATGGTTTAGGCTGTATGCTCAAAGGTGGGGTTTGGGACGACTTGGAGTCTTGGTCTCAAAATTCTGCGGGAGATGCAGATTCGGGGGAATGACTCGGGTTCCATGGCTTCCCAATTTGGAGTTTAGGGTTAGGGGTTTGGGGTTTGGCAAATTCTGTAGACCCCTTCGGACGTTTTTGTTTTAATGCATATAAGACCCAAGGGAATATTCAATACAATTTTTTTAAGGCTCTAAGGGGAGGATAGAATCTGGGTTCAGGGTGTTGGGGGTTGTACAGCCTGCTCACTTGTAGGGTGTTGAAGGCTTGACCTTCGCACCTTCAAGCGTCTAGCGCGGACCCTTGTGGGTTTAGGGTTTAAGGTTGAGGATGTGCGTAGGGTTTTGAGATTTAGAATTTTGATCTGAAGTCTCATTCCCTGCTGAAGCGCAAAGATGTAATCGCCCTCCGGCAGAATGGCTCTGAACCCTCAAGACCCTGCAGACCTTCGCAAAGAGAATGAGACCCTCAAAGCCCCACAACGACTACTACTAATAAGAATTACAAGCATTGAGCATCAGAAATCGGAAAGTGATAACTGTATTGAACAGGAAGTTACATTGGTTTTCTCGAAGGCCCTTACATCCACTAGACTCCCAGGCCCCCTGATCCCAAGATGCAAGGGTCTAGAGCCTAAGCCAACAGCAAAGCTGTGTTGCTGTCAAAGAGCTTAAATTAAGTTTCCATACAGCAAGGACAAACTTCTCTTCCTGTCTGTCCATGTGGGTGGAACTTGTTTCCAGCAATTTCTAGTATTTTCACCCACACCCATTAACCATAAAGCCCTAAACCAAAAAACACCTTTAAACTTCAGAACCCTGAGCCCTAGTTTGAGCTCATTAACCGCAAGAGGCCCTGGAAACCGCGGTGCGCGCGCAGGCGCGCCTGGGCTTTCAGGGTTAGGGTTCGGGGCTCGTGTTGAAGGTTGTTACGAAGACCTGTGGCTTTCGTAGGCCCAAAACGGACTTGTCAAACATTGTTGGGTCTTGCTGTGACAGGGAAAAATATTCAAATCCCCAGGGCGGAGCGTTGGTGTGCATAGCTTTTCCTGAAAACCATGGCTGGTGAATCGGGAGAATTGCTAGTAGCATTCCCTTCTGGTCCCTATAACACTATTCGAAAATTACCCCCCCAAACCTTATTCCAACATGTGAGGCCCCTGTATTACGTTTCTGTTGTGTCCGTACCCTCCAGCTAAGGCAAGGCAAACAAAACGCGCGCCGGCTGACCAGTAAACAGACACGCCGACCGGCAGGGAAATGAGTTAAGTAGCTAGCGAGGAGCATGTCGCAGTTGGCGTGCTGCATCCCCCCCCCCCCCCCGCTTTAAAACAGCTCTAAAACAGCAGCCTTAGCCAAAGCCGCGCCCTGAGTCAATAATATAACTGCATAATATAACTGTATCCTCTGGCATCCCTTCACCGCCACCTGGGCAATAGAAATCCTGTCCGCAAAAGCGGGGCCTTCAGATCTGCCTTCGTCTGGCTGTGCGACCTGTCGTGCTGCCTAAATATGGATAGTTCAGGGTTTAGGGCTTAGGGAGTACCCCATACGAGAGCAAGAAGGGCAAGAAGGCTTCACAAAGTAATGCTCCTACTCTCAAGCTGTTCACCCTGAACTGGGACATGCGCATTACACAGAATGTGAACCAAAAGGCCGCAACCATACATGCAAAGCCGCTCAACCTCAGACTCTTAAATGCCCTAAGCCCTACATTTCAAAATCCGAACACGAATGACTCTAAACTCTAAAACCCGAACAACGCGGTATCGGGTTTAAGGGTTAGGGGTCTTAGCTTGCAATGCCCCGCATACCCCTCCAACCACTGCGGCCTTTCCCGTGGCCGCCGTGCTAGGGTGATCTGCTGCAGCACGCCTTGCCCTCAAGTGAGTGTGGGCTGGGGGTGGGGGAAGGGTTCTGTCAGATTAGGGCGGGGTTTAGAGCTTAGAGGGTTCAGGGTTTAAGTCCACGTGGAGGCGGGTTGGTTCCACTCTAAGACTTTGCTGGGAGGGCCCCTGACAAGATCGAGGGTTCATGAGGGCTCGAGGGAGTGGCGGCCCCCAAGAGGATTCGAGTTTGAGGGCTTCGTGGTTTTGTGTTTCTTGTTGACCTTCTTGGGCCTTCAAGGCTTTCAGTTTGTTTGTGGTAGTTTCTACTGCCCGGGAAGTGTGGGCTTCTGGGCTGTTGAGCTGCTGTTTTGGTTTTAAGGGTTTCGAGTTTGAACGGAGCAGCAGGGGAGCGATGGGGGGGCGGGGGGGGGGGGGGTGGGGTATAGCTTTCGTGCTACGTTGCCACCTTTGAAAGGATGTAAGTTTAGGATTTATGTGGTCAATATGGGGGGTTTCGGTTTTGGGGTTTTTGGTCGCTCTTGAATGCACCATGGAGAACAGGTGCTCGAGGTCACGCGCAGACTTGAAGATGGCCAATGCCTTGGATCTGAGCACTCACTTATCGGCGAGGAGCTTCTTTGTTCCGTCGGGCTTGCGAGGTCAACACACTGACGTGGGGAAAGGGCGGATGAGCACCTCGGCAGAATGAAAGGGCATGATGCGACGTGCCTTTGCGGTTGTGGTTGCGCGCGCGACACAGCATCACCGTAACATCACCTATTGCTGAGGCAAGGGCGTCTACAAAGGACCAGTTTCACTGAATGAACACCGTTGCGCACCAGCGGCACGAGTATCCACCTTGATGCTCTGCAGCGTTGAGCGCAGGAGCCGAGAAGGGCAGCTGTGTCAAGAATGGTTACGGCATGGGCAAAGGCTTTTGCAACGGCACAAGCTGTGTTCAGCCGTAGCTTTGCAACAACCCATGATTCGTAATTGTGATCCATCGCGATGCTAGGCTATGCCGGCTACGCAAACTTCGACTATCCCCAGCGTCGCTTTGCTGCCGAGTTTGAGGGTCCCAACTGCATGGGCTTTCTGCGCCAGCCTTCTTTGTTTGCCAGGCCGTGGGGGACGAGGCCGGGGGCGAAAGACCAGCAATCGTCGTTGATGGGACTTGCTGTCGCGTCATACAACATTTCATGCTTTGTTCACGAGGGCTCCATGAGGGAGATGGAGAGCACTGGAGAGCTTGAGTAGTTTCTCTCTTATGGGACTTCGTGAATTCGAGGGACCAGAACGTGGGCGGATGACTTGCCGCCAAGGCCTCCGCAAGTGGAGGCTCGCAGCTTATTTGCTAAGATCAATGGTCTCGTGCCACTGGCCGCAGACAGGCCCGCCAGAACAGGGAAGAGCAAGAGCAGCAGACACGCGTGGCACCCTTATGGCACATGGGTATGTTCTTGTGACAGCCTGAGAAGATCAGTGACGTCCTTTGCGCCCGCGGCCCAGGCAGCTCTCCGTATGGCCAGCACCAAAGAGCAGCTGGTGGCTGCCATAGGCTTGGCCCAGGACTAGCAGAGCACGAGTGGAATGTGCATGCTGCATCACGCTGCACGGGGAGCGCCTTCCACACGCTTTCTTCTCCATGCTTACACGTGGTTCACGTGACGTTGACGCGACGCTTAAGAAAGGTACGTGTGGGGTCCATTGTCCGAGGATGTCCGGGGTGCATCGTGTCAGGAGCAGGGCCTCACGCTGGAGGCCAGCTTGGGAACGCAGGGGCCTCAACTCTACATTTCGCATTTTCAGCACAAACCCGCTGCGCTTTCAAAGGAAGAAACTTCAAAAATTGCAGCAGCACTGAGCGGAGATCTCACAGCCAGATCTATTTGCAGTGCTCAGAGGACGTCTCGCATCTCAAGCGGTGAAAGTTCCAACTGACTAATTCGTTAGGTGCATCAAGGGGAGGAGTTAGCAAACAGAGCAATGCAAAGTACCTCACGTCATTTGGCCGACTCCTCGCCCACCAGCCAATGTCTGAGTTTCAATGGCGAAGGAAAGATCGGGGCAGTGTGGCGATGCAGTGCTTTGCACCTCTCTGCTGCTAGAGATCAATGTTTTGACTGTCGTGGTCGTGGTTCCCGTCCCGGCTCGGCTCCCGGCGGCGAACAGCGCATTCAACATGCTGCCCCTGCCTGCAACATGCGTGAGAGTTGCCCTTGGTGCATGTACTGCGTCAGCTGTGGAGATGTGCAATCTTTGCCCTCGTATTAACATGTATCAGCTGGCAAAGCAAGCTGAAACTCAAGCAGTTGTCATGCCGCTCTCCTCCCCCTCACGCCGGCGAAGGCTCGACCTGTGCTGCTTGAGGGCATGCCCTATGCAGACAAAAGATTATGTGCACCGTGCTCGGGTCGACAGAACCAATAGCTCTTTTGTCCCAGGGTCCTCTTCTCATTGCTGGCAAACATTGGCAAGCGACAGCCCCCTCGCAGGCCTTCAGACTCGTGGCACGGGAGGCGCGAGAGGGGCGAGAGGCCGAGAGTTGGCCGAGAGTTTGCCACAGCAAAGGGCTTAAGTTTTCATTTTTCAGTAAAGACTCCCGGCTCGGCTTGTTGAGTCCGCTGATAGTTCATAGGCTTCCTACGAAACTTGCGGCCAAATTTCCCAGTACAAAGACCGGGTTCTAGATGTCAGCGTTTGAGGTGTTGCTCCTTACTAGCTATGCATATTTCTCCACTGGACCCGAATTTGTCTTGGGGTGGCGGGGGGATTTAGTATCTGTGGGGCCAAGACAGCTACGGTTGAGCCCTCAGTTCTGGAA